ATTGCATCTCAATGTAAAGAAAACAAAAATCCTCACCACTGGACCAATAAACAACATTCTTATCAATGGAGAAAAGATTGAAGTTGTTAAGGACTTCATTCTTCTTGGATCAACTATCAACACTCATGGAAGCAGTCAAGAAATCAGATGACATATTGCATTAGGCAAATCTGCTGCACAAAACCTTTTTAAAATGTTGAAGAGCAAAGATGTCAGCTTGAGGACTAAGGTGCGCCTGACCCAAGCCATGGCCTTTTCAATAACCTAATACACATGCGAAAGCTGGACAATGAATAAGGAAGACTGTAGAAGAATTGATGCCTTTGAGTTATGGTGTTGGAGGAGAATACTGAAAGTGCCATGGACTGCCAAAAGAACCAACAGATCTGTTTTGGAAGAAGTGCATCCAGAGTGCTCCTTGGAGGCCAAGATGGCTGAACTTTGTCTCACATACTTTGGACATATTGTCAGGAGGGACCATTCGCTAGAGAAGGAGATCATGTCTGGTAAGGTGGAGGGTCAGACAAAAAGAGGAAGGCCCCAGCGAAATGGATTGGCCCAGTGGCAGCATCAACGGACTCAAGCATGGCAACAGTAGTGAGGTTGGCTCAGGATACGGCAGTGTTTCATTCTGCTGTGCATAAGGTTGCTATGAGTTGGTACCGACTCGATAGCACCGAACAACAACAACAATAGATAGTTCTTATAAGAGCATGGTACTTAAGGCCAACATTCTTTACAAATTAATATAAATTGTTTGGTTTTAAGAAGACTTCAGGGGATATTTTTGGTTTTAAAGTTTAAAGATTATCTCAAAGCATCAGGATTCCATAAAGTCCAGATTTTATGAGAATTTGAAGTTCGGTTCTGCATTTACCCCCTTTTGATCAGAAGTCTACAGAATCTTTGATCAAAACATTCAGTAGGTAACACAGCTTTGAAGGGGCAGAAATAAGTCTGTTCTGCCTAACTAGAGGTCAGGTTCTTTCCTGGCTGTAGATGGAGGCTAGTACATCTCTGGGGAATACAGGGTGTTTATAATTATCCCTGAGAGCCCCAACCCTAGGCACCTGCAAAACCTTGCCCCTCCGTCCTGCCCCTCCAGACATGCACCTACTCTCTGTGGTCACAGGAGGAGGCCTTGGACACAGCAAGCATGTCCAAAGGGTCCTTTCTGAGAGTGTCTTACTACAATGCTTAACTACTAATAGAAATAACTTGTAATAAAACGGATTCCCCACTATCCAAATGTAATTAAAATTTATGATCTCTGGGCTTTAGAATTGCCGTAGTCGTACCATTTATGTTCAGCAACATTATTGCAATGTGGGGTCCCAGTTGTCTTTCTCTCTGACACACACATACACATGGTGTGCTAAAGCCACAACAATTTCACCACTCGCAATAATGTGACCACAGTTCTTTAAACTGGGAAGGACGACTCCCACACTACTTCCACCCCAGAGGACCTGGAGACAGACCACTGTCCCCTGAGAGAGTGGTCTTGGGTCTTCTCTCCTGGTGGGCTGGGGCTGGTGATAGTAGAGTGGGAGGCTATGGTCAGTGCTTCCATTCATGTGCCTGGCCGGGGCGCTGGGACCTGCAGAGTCAGAGCCCAGCCTTGCAGGGACATACGAGTTGGTCTTGTGAAGGTGGCTGATTTGGTTCTGCAGTCCATAAGGATATTGGTCCAAATGGCAGACAGTCTGCCTAGGATGTTGGGCCAGAAGTGACTTGAATGACACCATCAGTAACATCCTACCTCTGCAACTCAACAGGGGCATCTAACCTCTCAGAACAGGAGCTCCTGAACAGTGAAACTGCAACAGTGACTATCTACCTGCAAAGGGGTTTGGGAAAGATCACAAAGAAAATGCAAGTTAAGTGCTTATCACAGTGGTCAAAACCAAAGCAGTAAATGTTTACTAAATGTGAGTGGTAAAAACATTGTGAAATGGGCATCATATCTAATGAACACCGACTCTTCACATCGACACGATTAGGTTTCAGAGACCAGACCGGGTGTTATGTGAAATTTGGCATTATGTGAACAACCACGTCTAATCACAAAGCGGAAGATGACTACATTCTTACATAACTGCCAAACGATTTCATTACATAACTACCAAACCACTGAGACTCATGTCCCAGCCAAGTTGACACCTAACCTTAATTATCACAGTATCTCTGCATCTGTTACTGCCAGGTGTACTTTGTTAATGTACACGGTGGTCAAAGAGTAGATTTATTTTTATTTTTTTTACTGTTGTCGTTAAGTGTGAGATGTCAGATAACGAGATGGTTGATAATGAGGAATAGGAATATTGAGTAAACTGACAGGAGGGAGCACTTGAGCCACGCAGCAAGTGCCCAATAAATGATGGTCATTGCTGTCATGGTTACTACAGTGACTGACACTCAGGGACACGCTCCCTCCCTAATTGTGACTCCCTTTCCTTCCTTAAGCTTCAGCTGACAGGATGGAGGCTAGGAGGAGCCCTGGCTGTGGGGACTGCTGTTTGGAAAGAAGCCTGACCTTGCAGGACATGTTGATGAAGTGAACGTGTCAGAACAGCAAGTAGGGGGGC